CAAGAAATACACATTTTCTTCCTCTATGATGGCTTAAAGCTGTTGGAAGAAGTTGAGTCAAAGTTGGTGCAAATGTCAGGAAAACATCACTAATGGAATAAGGATGCCATGCAATAATTCTTGAACAAAGCATTAATGAGCTGAGATTGTGTAGACTGGCAAAACAGCCATGGAGAGACAAAACTAACCAGCCTCTCTTGGATTTCCTTCTCTTAGTGAAAAGCAAGATTTTCTAAACCCATTACAAAACATTTGAGTTTTTTAAATCAATCAAATATTTCATAAATATCCCACAGGACACAAGGCTGTATTTCTTCCTAAGTGCAACACTTGGGCACAGTAAAAGCTACCTAAGGAGTTGGATTGGCTGAACGCTGATAAACACTGCGTGTTGATTGTAATAGTTGGGCTGTAGTGATTTATAAGAAATAATTTCAAAAATTGATTTTGGAAAAAGTACAACCCTCGTGAGTAGGACTTCAGTATATTTTTCATTATGGCAGAATTCCTCAGCAGATTGAGAGTAATTATGATGTATTGTATTAAAATAGTGCTATCAATATTACTTTAAGTTTGATTAAGTTTAAACAAGTTGTAATGAACAGATACAATGGCTCCTTCTGACATTTAAAGATCCAAAGTCTGGAAAAGAGGAAATAATTTCTCAAAATTAGAGTATAACCAAAGTTTTCTGAACTAACATTCAGAATATTTAAGTAACTGGTACAACTCAATATTGTAAACAGGGACATTTTTCAAAACATTGCTCTGAAAGGAAGATTACATAATAGATATACTATTAACATTTCAGGACTGGCTGGTATGAGGTAACTTTTGATATGAATATCTGATGATCCTTTAAAAATTCTTCCATCTGATTATCATAAAAAGCTAATTAAATTACTTATGAACTACACAACCAAATTCCTATGAACATATATTTTTAAAATCCTTGTTGGCAAATGCAGTATAATTCATAAAACACAGAACTACAAATTTGGTAAACCCAAATAGAAGACCAGCACTGGAATAAAAACCCTATGCTTGGTGGACCCATTGCAACAATGAGATGTACAAGTTGTTATGTCAAAAAATGAACTTTACAACTTTGTTGGGGGGGGAGGACCAAGGGGGGAAGGGGGACTGTATGGGAAGGGATGTGAAGGGGAAACAAAGGAGGAGGCTACAATGCTTGATAAGAAATGTACTCATTATCTTGCCCATGTAATTGTAACTCCTCTGTACGTTATTCTCACAATAAAAAAAGAAAACCTTGTGCTTTTCACCTAGTATTACTTCCATTTTGGAGTTTATTGCACTTAGATTAACTAAGAAAAATGAATTACACATTAGACCTACCCACATAAGGGAAGATCCTTGCTATTATGTGTTTATCATAGTAGATGCTCTGACACACCTGCCCCCAGCCTCTGGGAAAGTTGGTCAGAGAACATCCTCAAAAGAATAATCTCAGATAACAACTCCCTCTGGGGCCTCAGAATGGAGAGAGCCACATTTCCTAAGTTCACAGCCTCTTCCCAGGACAGCCAGCACACAGTGATGAAAAAATATGGGCATATGAAGGCTCAGTCCCTTGACTTCAATTAGCAATGAATCAGAAGGGTCATTTCAAATTTTAGAACACCCAAGCCTTCAGAACAAATGACTGAAACCCAGTGTAACTTCTGCTGACAAACCTTCTTCCTGACCTAAGAGCATAAGCTTGCTCAGTCTCAACCCAGAGAATGAAACCTTCTACAATGAGTAATCTAAGGCTTTCTTGAATAACTGTCCAAGAACCAAGATGATAATGACTAAAACCCAGGCCTCTGGAACCAGGTGAAATGCAAGGTGTTGAAATGCCCCAATCTGACCTTAACTTCTCAGTTCTTGAACAGTGAGCTACCTGAAATGCTTTCTGGGGTGCTGTTTTATATATTCTTAGGGGGAGAGGATCAGACCTCAGAGAGCTGTACTCTCCAGTGGTTGATCTAGCTTGATCACTAAAGTGGTCTGGTTCTTCTGCTGACAGATCATATTTCTCAAAGTGGCCATACAAAAGGCAGGATGGCAGAGAGAAAATGTTCTGCACACTGAGACAAAAGACTTCCCTCTCCTGGAATCCCCCAATTATCTAGCAGACAGTCGACTTCTTAGGCCTCTCTCTGAGAGTACATGAGTAAAAGAAGAACATGACTTCTTTTTTTTATTGTGAAAATACTGTACAGAGGGGTTACAATTACATGGGCAAGATAATGAGTACATTTATTATCAAGCATTGTAACCTCCTCCTTTGTTTCCCCTTCCCATCCCATCCTTCCCCCCCCAACCCTCTTCCCACCCCCACCCCCCCAACCAAAGTTGTAAAGTTCGTTTTCAACATAACGACTTGTACGTCTCATTGTTGCAATGGGTCCACCTGTATCCCTATTTAAACGATTTGTTTTTTTCCCTTCCCCTCCACAAATTATAACAACATCAAATACAGTGAAAGCAGGGGTTATACCGTGGGGTAGGAGCATGATTCTTTTCTGTTGCAGATGATGGCCTTGTGTGGCTTTTCTCTTTCTCAAATAGTAGTGTTGGTGGGTTTTCTCTTGACCTTTTACCGCTAGCTAGCAAGTTGAAACTTGTGTGGGACCATACCTGTGCAGCACAGGTGACAAAAAGGGGCGAACCATTGGTACCAGCTGTGGCATTATCAGGGTATCAAAAAGGTTCATCACCGTCTAGAGATGGAGACAACCTCTGTGATGAGGAAGTTCTAGGAAAGCCAGTAGTAGGTAGACCATGTTATCTGAATGTCCTTATCAGAGAAAGTATAACCTGGTGTGAGAAATTGCCAATCTCTACCCAGAGCTAATTAGTGTGGCAAGAGCAAAATTGTTTCCAATAATCTAATACAGTAACTTCTTCAATGAGTCAGAGACATGACATTACAACCACAGGATGATGATGTCCATATTCTAGATGGAGGAGCTATGTATCAATCCAGCTTCTCTGGGACCATTGACTTCCTACCCTTGGCGGGAGAGTTTGTCCTTCATTAAGAACCTAAGGCCTCCTGAAGTGGTAGAGTGCTAGCCTTGAGCTGAAGATCTGAGGGACAGCACCCAGGCCCAGAGTTCAGGCCCCACGACCGGACCCCCCAAAAAAGGCAGGACTTTCAGAAAGAGCTGCACCCCAATCCAGACAGCCTGAATCTTGAATAGTCTGCTGCTATTCTCTTCAAGTCATAGGAGCTTATCTTGCCTAGAAGGGAGAGTCCCTGGTCTGAGAAATGTTAGGAGTGTGTACTTTTTCTCCTCTGACTCTGCTACCTTGTTTCTTTTCCTTGTTTTTGTTCCTTAACTGGTGCTACAAGATGCTGTGGGCCTGGGCACATGACAAGTAACAGCCCAGAAGAGAATCACTTTGCCCACCAGAATCATCTGGAATTTTTTTAATAAGAATATCTTGTACTTATACCAGGCCTTACCGCTTAAAACACAATCATGTATATGCATTAACTCAGTAAGACCGACATCAGCCTAAGGACTTAGGCAAGGGACATATTTTGTATTCCTTGTGTAATTCACACATTTTCAAAAAGAAAAATTGGGACATGGGGTCTGGTAAAGGTCATGTTTTTTCTTCCTGACTTATGAAAATAGAAAAAAAAGATTATGAAAGCATAAAGGTTGCTACATATAAATAGAACAAGTTATTTTATAAGATAGAATTACATGAAGCTTGTATAGAGATTTCTGGAAATATGGTTAGCCTAATTGCAGTAAGATAAACCTTAAGGCTTCCTTTAAAACTCATTTTAATGATTGGTTTAAACAGAGAGGCTGGATATTCAGGGACTGAGAGAAGATTGAAGTTAGAGCTCCAAGAAAGTGACTGACAGTAAATAATATAAAGGTCCATGATGGAGGGTTTAAGTCAAAGGCAGGACATTCCCTGTAACCTGCAAATTCCTAGGACATGTACTTTCTGCTCCTCTTCTGAAATATCAGCCCCATTTCTCCTCCTGTGTGCAATGGGCAAAACTTACATAAAATAAAATTCAGTCAATGAACACATGTTTATTAGAGGTACACAAGGTGCCAACTATCTGCTAAGAGCCAACTAAGAACAGGTCATAGTTTAAGAATTAGACCTACTCATTACTTGTTATACGAAAGCATAATGGCTCCCCAAACCCAGAATCACTCAATGTCTGTATTTTGTGATAGACTCATAGCTGCATATAACTGGTATCCATTAAGGTTGATGGGGTCACTACATGGTACCAATCTTCCCATCAAATTCAGAAGAGTTACAAGCTTTATCTCTGCTGATTCTGGATCTTTCCAAATTAGGTGCTTAATTTTCAGCCGTGATACTTTGCCAACAGTAACCTAAGCAGCATTGTCTCTCTAAGTGAGTGACTTTTCACAAAATCAATGATTCTTAAAAAGTAGAAGGGTCCTAGTAGATTGGCCACTTGAACTTCACATAGCATAAAAACTCCTTCCCTGAAGGCCAACTTCTGACAAATGGTCATACAAACATGAGGCGGAGATTCATTTGCCACTTTCTTTGCACAGAAATGATCCACTTGTGTGCAAATACTGTAGCACGTGACACTGGAAAGTGGTAATCTGTAGGGTGCATTTATGGAACATAAAAATGTTTCTGGAAAACCTGGAAAGCCCCCCTGCCACCTCTATGTAGGACACATTCATAAAGCAAATGTTTCCTAGCTCTAATTTTTGTGAACTCTCTGATGGATTAAGCCAAACATCTCTGCATTTTACTCCTTATTGCTACGGTAGCTAATTTGTGCTTGTGGGAACAGCAATTTAGAGTTATTAGTGAAAATGAAAGCTAATTTCAAAAAAGACAAACATCTAAACCTAACCTGAGTAAAAGCACTCACAGATGAATTTATCCACATTCCCCATCTCTATCTACAAGACAAATATTACTTGCAGTAATAAGGAAGTCTGGCATCAAGCTCTTGTTGAACATACCTGCAACCCTTCGATGGCCAGTTTAAGGATTGAAGGTGTCAGTTTGGAGGCTTGTTTGAAGGAAAAATTACTCCAGTCTATAATTAAAATGAAGCCATTTATCTGAAGCTCAGGATCTTCAATGAGAACTTCCAATGACAGCAAGATGGCACGCAGGATGTCTGTGAAGGAGTTCCTGTGACAAGAACAGGAAGGAGAGTTGAGTATGCGTATAGAAAGGTGACAGATAAGACCCTGTGGGCAGTGAATTTGGTGTCTTTGTGCCACTGTTTCATGAACCTAGCCTGTAGAGTCCTCTTATACCAGAAAGACTATAAATATATTTGCTAGACTTCCCAGGAGCAACACTTCAAGACTCCCAGGATGGATATTTCCCTTTGATCTGACCCCAGCTGCATCCCACACTTAATGAGCTGTTGTGCTTCTGTGTTCCCATGACTGTGCTCTGCTCCCCCTGCTGCACTGGTGACATTCTGCTGAAATACAGCTCTTACCCATTGCTCTCCCTCACTGAGCTCCGATATCCTCAAGGGCACACACCAGGCTATATTCCTGGCAGCATTTCCAGTAACTGAATGTTCCATGAATCGTTGCTGAACAAATGGACTGAGATCTCAATCCCAAGGTGCTTATTTCAAGTATTTTTATTTCTAGAATCTTGCCAAGAGTATGAAAACATCCATGCAAGGGATGCTACCTTTTAGCTTTCGCTGATCATAGAAAGAGAAAAGTAAAACAGGAAGAATAGCTTGTTTGCCCTGATGGTCTACACAACATGGTTCTGGAAGGAGATCACTTTGAGTACATCTGTAACAATAACAGGCAAACCTGTTGAATGAAAACTGGAGTGACAGCTTTCCAGTGTGGTGTGTGTTCCTCCACATCATCCACTCGCTCACCAGCTCATTTTTGTTGTTAATAGTTTTCAGATATGAAGAAATGATGGCACTGTGCTATTTCATTCTAGAAGTTATCTGAGGTACATATCTAATGTCATAGATGCTTAACTTCAAGGCCTTTCTTATATGAATATAAAGGGATGGAAAATGATGCCAGAAACCTGCCATTTCCTTTTGGATTTCACCAATATCATAAGTAGAGTCTTGTGAGATCAGTGTGAAATGATTCCTAAGATTTCCAACCTGATTTTAAATTCTAACAGCCAAAGGTCTCCAGATTCTAGATCAAGTTAGGTGGTAAGAATTTACTGAATTCCTATTCTAAACTCAGTGTTGTGTTTCCTGCCTGAAGTAGTATATCCTAGATCTACTTTCAGAGATCTTTAGTTTGGTTGTTGGAGGTTAGCAACATGAGATGAGAGGGATTGACAGAATCTGAGCATATAGGCAAGTAAGTACAGATAAGTAAAGTCTTGCAATATGTCTTGAAGAGTAGATCAGATTCTGATGGGTTATTGGGATAAAGGAAGTAAGATCTTTCAGGAGGGAGGACAGATACAAATAAAAAATAAAAATATACAGTTTCTGATACTTTTAGTGAAGGTTTCCCACTTACAAGAAACTAAAATTTTACTCCCCAAGTCAACCTATTTTTGTTAGTCCTGCTATATTGGAAAATGCCTAAAGCCTCCCCAAACCACATATTTTTGACTATATAAACATGGCAGATACCCTAAAATGATCTCCTGGTTAAAAATTGTTCTTGCCAGCTGTGGTGGTGTATGCCTGCAATCATAACACTTTGGAGGGAGAGGAAGGAAGATCAAGAGTTTGATGTAATCCTCAACTACACCTGAACTATACAGTGAGATCCAGTAGTATTAAAAAATACATACAAATTCTTAACATTGTTAGCTTTTAGATGTGTTTCTTTTCATTTTGAAAGATGCCATATTCCCATTAACATGAGGTAAATTTTTATTGAGATATTGCTTTTGTTTTACATCATTATATAATGATCCAAGTCCCCTTCAAAGACATCTCTCATTGGGAAGAAATATTGAATTAGAGAATGGGATCAAAGATTATGAGGGTAGGCAATTCCAAATAGAAATATGGACACACCAAATGGGAAAATAGAAATTACCAACAGTGTTATCATGGAGCTCATGCTTGTGTTTAAAGCTTTCTTGGAAAGATCATACACAGGAATAAAATCAGGGCTGAAAAACTGGGCCTTAGTATATAGTACTATGTACTATGCATAGCCTTAGTACATAGTAATGAGGTTGAATGAAGAAGAATTAACAAAAATGAAAAAAATATTTCCTTATATTCACCATATTGGGTCAAAACAAAGAAAGAGAAGAATATCTTAAAAATTGAGAATACATGTGGAGTCTTTTGAGGAACTTCCATACTACTTTCCAAAGTGGTTGAACAAGTTTACATTCCCACCAACAATACAGTAAGGTTCCCTTCTGTCCACATCCCCTCCAGCATCTGTTGTTATTAGAGTTCTTGATTATAGCCATTCTAACTGGGGTGAGGTGGTATCTCAATGTTGTTTTGATGTGGATTTCTGGCTAGGGAAGTTGAGCATTTCTTCAAAAATTTATTGGCCATCTTTCTTTCCTCTCCCCTATCACCCAGCAATCCCACTTTTGGGCATTTACCCGAATGATCACAAACAAGACCATACTAAAGCTATCAGCACAACTATGTTTATTGTAGCATTATTTACCATAGCTAAGATATGGAACCAACCCAGATGTCCCTCAGTAGATGAATGGATCAAGAAAATGTGGTATATATACACAATGGAATTCTATGCCTCCATCAGAAAGAATGACATTGTCCCATTTGTTAGGAAATGGAAGACTTGGAAAAAATTATATGAAGTGAAGTAAGCCAGGCCCAAAAAAACATAGGTCCATGCTTTCCTTTATTTGCAATAACTAGTATATGTCTGAGACAAGCAGAAAAGATCAGATAAGTTCATGTTAGGCAAAATGAACCCCAAGATAAGGACTCAAATGGTTTTTCTTTCTTACAATTGTTTCTAACATATTTATAAGATGATTTCTTTGTTGCTTTGTATGTCCCTCCCCCGCAGTATAACCCCTGCTTTCATTGTATTTGATGTTGGTATAATTCGTGGAGGGGAAGGGCAAAAACAAACCGTTTAAATAAGGATACAGGTGGACTCATTGCAACAATGAGATGTACAAGTCGTTATGTCGAAAAATAAACTTTACAAGTTAGGTGGGGGGCGTGGGAGATGGGAAGGGATAGGAAGGGGAAAACAAAGGAGGGGGCAACAATGCTTGATAAGAAATGTACTCATTACCTTGTCCATGTAATTGTAACCCCTCTGTATGGTATTTTCACAATAAAAAAATTTTAAAAATTGAGAATACTGCAGGAGGCATAGCTCAAGAGGCGGGAGCTACTAAGTTAGAAGCCTTGAAGTCATACCTCAAAACCTCCCTCAAAAAACCCCCTCAAAAACCAAAAATGTGATAAACTACATTAACACAATACTGTCTGCAATTCTTCATCTCCTATGCATTAGTTATGGCTTTATTGAGCTGCACTCCCTCTTTATGTGACATACTTTGACTAATGATATGTACACAGATGTGACACTGAGCCAGTTCTGTGACTAGATCTCAGAGGTCACCCTTGTTGTCTTGCCCTTCTGTTCATGCTCATGTTAAAAACATGCCACATGCTAGGTTGAAGGAAAGGATAAGACACACTGGGAGCTGCTAGTTAACTAGCAGCTTTTCATAAGAAGCTGTGTCAACCTTGTGAACTTGATGTGCCTTACACATGCATGAGAAATAATTTGTAATTGGTTTCTAAAACCGCTGAGCTTGTGGATTGTTTGCAGTTTTTCTTGTCCTTTAACTGCTAATGATGCCTCAACCAACAAGGAGAGGAAAATGTGCCTGCTGGAACCCCCACTGGAGTATTTGGCATCTGGCAGAGGAAAAAGCCTGTTTTGACATGTTGGCAAACAGGCCTATATTTGAGGGAGATGCTGAGCCTGATTACCTGCCACTGCCATTCACTATACATGCAGTCACCCACAGAAAAGTGGAATTCATCAGGGGCAACTTTCTATTCTTCCACATATGGAAGCAATTTTGCTCATTATGAGAAATGGAAATGCAAAGGAGCTTTGTGAATTAGAAAACCCATCCCTAAAGGAGGTATCATTTGTATTTGCTGAGGTATGGAGAGGCATTCTGAGTCCTGCTACTTTCCTGGTAGTGATGGTAGCAGAAGGCAACAGGAAAGTTCCTGAGACTTTTATCATGGAAAAGTAGTAAGTGGAGGTATGGTTCCAGTGGTAGAGCACTGGCCTTGAGCATCAAAGCTCAGGAACAGCACCCAGGCCCTGAGGACAGGCCTCAGGACTAGCACACACAATAAAAATATGAACATGATAATAAAGTGTGCTCCTTAGATTCTAGGATTTGGAGTTAGTCAGATTCTGATTCAAATCCTGGTTGTTTTATTTGAGCTTAGCAAGTTGCTTTATCTCTCTATGGCTCATGTTTTGCATCTATAGGAGAAACATCACACTTGCCTCACTGATAATGGTAAAAGGAGCTAATACCCACAAATACCTTAGCAGAACAGCTGACTCAGAAAAATGTACAGAAGGTGTGATGCTCATTGTGGTTTTCATTAGTATGAGTATATATGATATCAGGTAGAAAGTCAACAGGATTGCAAAGTACTTAGGCCTCACAAGAAGGAGAGATTATGTAAGGCTGGGTTTCTCAGAGAGCCTTCAATTGGTCCATGAGGAAAAAGAAAGTCAGGACATAAATAGAAAGGGTGGAAGGAGCCATGTAGATAACAGAATGAACCAGTAGCATTGCACTTTACATGGGAGCAATGGTAAGCTTGTTTGTGCCTGGGGCCAGTGCAAAGGAATGTACAAGTAAAATCAGAAATGTGATGTGCTCTATCTTCATTCTGCCTGCTTTAGAGAACTCCAAACTGGTCACCCGAAGAGGGCAGTGACAGCTGTTGGGCTTAAGGGAGAATTAGACAGGCAGCAAGGACTCTGCGCAATTGAAGGATGTGGATTCAAGTGTAAGTGTGAGGAAACAATAAGGATGAGAGAACTATGAAGGACATTACCTGAAAATAAGTCACTGACTAGGTATGGTACACTGACTAGTGTACTGTTAAGGACAAGAGGGACTCTGTGAGTTAGGAAGTGAATCTGAGGGCTGTAGTTGGATCTAACAATTTA